AAGTGGAAGGTAATGCCAATCACTATGTCTGGTGATGAATAAAATAGGTAATAAATATTTGGTCAGTGAAATTATTAATATCAGTATGAAAAAGCATGCCCAGAAGGAGTAAAAAGGCCCAGAATTCCAGTTCTAGCTTTGTCCTTAGCTTGCTGGATAGTCTTATGCAAGTAACTTAACCTCTCTGAGCCTCAGTTCCTTCATCTTTAACAGAAGTTCTTAAAGTGCGGTCTAGGGATCCCTAGGAGTCCCAGAGACTCTCCAGGGATCCACAAGGTCAAAACTATTTTTTCATAGTAATGCTAATAAGGCTTTGTCTTTTTCATTCTCATTCTCATGAGTGAACTACATTTTCCAGAAGCTACATGACATTTAATATTATAGCCCATTAAATGTAGAGGCAGATAGGAGAATCTTCTGTGGTCTTCTGTTAAGTCAGACATTTAAATGACGTGCAAAAATGTAAAACAGTGCCTCTCTTTTTGCTCCATTTGTTGTTGTTTTGGAAAATAGTCCTTTTTCATTAAAATATTTTATGTTAACATGTAATGGTTTTTTTTTTTTTTAAGATTTATTTATTTTAGAAAGAGCAAGAGCAAGCATGGGGTGGGGGTTGCCAAGGGAGAGAGGGAGAAGCTCCAGCAGACCCTCTGCTGAGCAAGGAGCCTGACCTGGGGCTCAGTCCCACGACCCTGAGATAATGACCTGAGCTGAAATCAAGAGTCATATACTTAACTGACTGAGCTACCCAGGTGCCCCATAATGGGTTATTTTATTTTAAGATTTTTATTTATTTATTTGACAGAGAGAAAGCAGGAGAGCACAGTAGGGGGAGTGGCAGAGGGAGAAATAGGCTCCCCGCTGAGCAGGGAGCCCAACACAGCTCGATCTCAGGACCCTGGGATCATGCCCTGAGCTGAAGGCAATCGCTTAACCAGCAGAGCCACCCAGGCGCCCCTAATGGGTTATTTTATATAAATACACATTTTTCAGTTTGTTCAGTTTTAATTTATAATACCTTAAATGTTGATAACTATAGCCTCCATAAAGAAAGCTTTTTTCCTCAATAGTTTTTAATAATGTAAAGGGACCCTAACACTGAAAAGTATGGTAACCGCTGATCAATAAAATAGGAATGATAAAAAAATAAAAAAATAAAATAGGAATGATACTAATATCAGCCCTTTGTATTTTAGCTTGGTTGTGATAGGGTCACATAAGACTCTGTACAGTCACTTTATTTTTTTTTTTTAAGATTTTATTTATTTATTTGACAGAGAGAGAGAGATCACAAGTAGGCAGAGAGGCAGGCAGAGAGAGAGGAGGATGCAGGCTCCCCGCCAAGCAGAGAGCCCGATGCGGGCCTCGATCCCAGGACCCTGGGATCATGACCCGAGCCGAAGGCAGAGGCTTTAACCCACTGAGCCACCCAGGCGCCCTGTACAGTCACTTTAAAAGGGATGAGATACTGAACAGGTAGAAGATTGATCATTCTTACTGTCATTAATTGTGGTGACTTTTTTTTAAAGATGGAACAGATTAAGCGTGCAAACCGCCTTTATACTAATGACTCCATCTTCCTGAAGAAAACCCTCTACATCCCCATCCTGACAGAGCCCAGAGACCTGTTCAATGGTTTGGATTCTGAGGAAGAGAAGGATGGAGAGGAAGAGGCCCAGTCAAGTAAGGATGAAGTTCCGCCACACAGAGCTGACAGGAAGAAACAAGAGACAGGCTCAGCACGTGCTAACGGGGAGGTCCTTCCCACACCTGGCCGGGAACCCCCAACTCCTATCCATGACCTCTCCGCCTCTGATTTCCTTAAGAAGCTTGATTCACAGATCAGCCTGTCAAAGAAGGCTGCTGCCCAGAAGCTGAGAAAGGGGGAAAGTGGGTGAGTCTTGAATGGTTCCTTTTAAGCCCCTCCGCAGACTTCTTCATCCTTACAGCCTAACCTGACCCGTCACACAAATAAGCAAGCGCAATGTCAGCAGAAACAAGGTAAAGCCTTTCACCCTGTCCCCCACCGTGGGGGGAAGGGTCCCAACAGCAGAGCCAGTGGCTGCTGGGATGGGTACAGCAGCAGGAAAGGGTTCTTCGTTCTCATTGGGGTAAAATAGGTGTCGTTGTAGCTCCGATGATCATGAAGGAGCATTAGGGTGAGAATTTATCAAGAGGGTGATGAGACTCCATCTCGGAGCTAGCAGCTCATGTACGTTAGTGGGGAGGACAGCTTCCCATGAGCCCTTTCTCAGGTTCTTCCCATGACCTGTCATGCCTCCTTTCCTCACCTGCAGGGTACCTGGGGAGGATTCAGGCCTTCACTTGAGCTCCCCTCGGATGCAGCAGCGAGCAGTCCTAGGGCCAGTGCCTCTGACCCGGACCTCTCGGACCCGGATGCTTCGGGACCAGGAGGATGAAATCTTCAAACTCTGATGTCCCCAGAACTGATTGAGAAAACAAGATGTTGAAGGAGCAATTTGACGGGGGAGAGGAGCCCGAGGTGAAGCTGAAGAACAAGGCTTCCCAGCCTACCTCCCTCCCTCCTGCCTCCTTCCCAGCCTCCAGTCGATCTAGATTTCCTTGGCCTGGGCCAACTTTATTGGGGATGGGGAACAGAACCCTCTTCAGTTCTTGGGCTGAATCTAGAACTGTATTTTAGATTCAAAAAAGGCTCTTTTTACGTCCCTGCTGCCTTTCCCATCCCCTTTACCATTCCTTGGCCTTAGAGCAGGGAGACAAGGACTCCCCCAACCCCTACCCCCTCCCCGTTTCAGACTGTATTACCTAATTTATTTGGTGCTATCTTATAGTATTTATTTGCTGTATCTTACTGTTTCCCTCTTATAATGAAGAAAGAGGATTTCTATAGCTCTGGAGTGAGGGGAATCCGGGAACAGTGAGCCAGTGACTACTGGTTCCCCACCTTCCCCACCTTCTTAGGCAAGCATGTTACTGAGGATGGGGCAGTCCGTGATCTAGCCCTTCTGCAGAGAATGGCAGATAGTGCTGGGCCTGTCCCCCAATCTCAAAGTAAAGAATTTGGGCTCAGTTTTGACTAACCAGTTCATAACTTTTTCATAACTCTTGCTCTGAGGAAAAACAGCAGTGTAGGGACCAGAACTCTCCATGCCACCAGTTCGCCCTTCTAACCTGCTCCTCTGTTCAGCCTATGCGAGGCTAAGGGATGAAAGAAGAATTAACCTTGGAGTTTGAAGAGGACAGTTGGGGGAGACTTTTTGTTGTGGGAGTTTCTTTGTTACACTCCCTCCCCACCAGAGCCTGTTGATCTATGCCTTGCTCCTCACTGCATATTTATTTGCAATTTGTAGCACTGATCTGCAGTACAGTTGGTTTTTTGGGTTTTTTGTTGTTTTGTTGTTGTTTTTTAGTTTCTTAAGCAGAAGTAGGCAAGGAGACCCCAATGATACTTGGAAATATGCCTCAGTCTCTCATAATGGAAATGGTGAGAGGAGAGATGAGTGGTGTTTCTCTATCTCTTGCCTCTGTGATGGTCGTAAGGTATAAGAAGCTGGAGAGATTAAACATTGAGCCCTGTGCATGTTTCAGTAGTTTTATTTCCCCTGTGAGACTCTCCACTGCCCTAACCCCTTCTTCTTGCGCTCTGGAACAAAGCCTCTGGTATCTGTCCAGGCTCTGCCTGGAGCTGGAGGTCTGGGATCCCATTCCCCCTTCTGTCTTTAGTGTCCCCTGAAGGGTTAGATGAGCTATGCCCTCTTCCCCTGGTTCACCAGGGAGGGGGGCTTCCCTGTTTCAAATGTCCCTTGGTTGGGGGGAGATAGAGATCCAAGTTTCACTTCGTCTTTTTTCAGGCAGCTTTGCTTCCTGTCCCAGGGCTGGAGTGGGAGAGGCGTCAACACTCAGCTTTGCTGCTTCTCCACCAGCAGTTTGGGGGTGGGGTTGTCTCAGAGGCAAAAGCACTCTGGAGAAAGACTGAAGCCTGAGGCTTGAAAAGCATCAGTGCACCAAGCAGGGCAAGAGAGCCCTTTCGGTGTCACTTTCTCAGTCCGGCCACGCGGCTCGGGTGGACGGCCCTAGGGCTTGGGCCCTCAGAGCTTGCCCTCATCCAGCAGCTTCCTGAGCCCATCGCAGATCTTGGTCCGGTGCTGAGTGAAGTCTGGCCCATAGAGGGCCGTGAGGAGGCTGGCGTCGGAGAAGTGGTCGAACACGTGGCGGATGCGGCCATGGGACTTGGGCGTGAGGTGGCGCGCCACTAGCTCCAGCAGCAGATCCCGGCACTCAGTCAGCAGGCCGGCCAGTACTGCTGCCTCGAAGGTGAAGTCCACCTCGCTGAAGCTGAGCGCCGTCATGGCACCCTGGCGCAGCTTTTGGCGGAAGCTGGCGGCCAGGTCCAGCTCACCGGGGCCGAAGCAGCCGCTGCGGTGCAACACGGCCACCTTGACCGCCACCTTGATGAGGTCCTTGAGCACCCGCTGTGCCTGTGGCCGGCTGTGCGTGTACTCTTTGGAAACGCGGTAGAGCTCATCGAGCACCTCACTGCTCGTCTCGTCCATGAACAGATGCGCCACAGAGCGACCAGCCATCTTACTCAGGAGCTTCTTCTCCGCCTGCAGTGCCAGACTCTTTGAGCTGAAGGACTCCATAGTTCCTGGGGGAGCAAGAAGGGGGTGGGGGGTCTGTGGTCAGTCACTGGAGGGAAGGCCACAGGCTTCCTTAGAAAGACAGCAATGGCTTTTCCCTGTCTTGGTTTCTATCTCATTGTCATCTTTCTCTGCCATCTTTTTCCCCCCTGAGCCTCCTCAGTCTTCTATGCCTTGTTCCCATTTCTTTTCCTGTGGACCTGGAGGAGATCTTGAGCTCCACCCCTCCCAGCAGGGCAGTGACAGCTTTGGCGGGGGGCTGAGGGCATACAGGGTGCTAGCCCCCACAAGTGCAGCCCAAAGCGGAAGTTAGTTGGCTGCTGCTGGCCTACAGGGTAGAAGATAAGGCTTACCTGGCAGCTAGTTCTCAGAGCAACCATGGCCGCCACTAACCAGGGGCCAGACATCTATAAGGTGTGGCTGTTACTCTCCTTGTTTTACAGCCAGGTAAACTGAGGCTTGCCTTAAATAACTGACCCAAGGTCAGATGCAACCCTCTTCCTGACTCTGGAAAAGTCAGTGGCAGCTCGTGTGCTGTATTGCCTTTAAGAAAGTGAGATGAGAGTCCCAGGAGTGTGGATAAAAATGCTCACTCACATTTATGGAGAACCTATGTGCCAAGTTGCTTTATGGGAACTGTCCCAGTCTTCCCACCCTTTGTAAGGTAGGTGTCCCCATCCTGCAATGAGAATACTGACGCTAAGAGAAATCAAGCAACTCTGCCAAAGTCACTAGGAAATGATTAAAATGGGCTTCCAACCACAGAAACCTCCTTCCCGGGAATGCTTTCAATGGGTTGCTGCGGACTAAAGAAGCATGAGACACCTCTCGGTGGGGCAGGTGATAATGGAGGCCCACAGTCTTTTGCGGGGACCGAACCAAGGACCCTCCTGGTGGCACATCACCACCGCATATCCAGGGTGCTCTCCCCATGGTCCTTGCCCGCGGTTCTGCTTGTTTTGCTTCTTACTTCCCCCTCCCCTGCTCTGCAGGATGTGGCTGTTACCACAACGAGGAGCAGCCTCGCCCTCTCCCCCAAACCAAAATGGGAGTCTGAAGACACAGGGGAGATGGGCACTGTGGCGGGAAGAGTCTTCCCCCGCCGTATCAGGCCAGTGCTAACCTGGAGCCTTGCTTTTTGCTCCTGGGCTTGCCTGGGGTTTTCTGGACTGGGCTCCACAGCCGGAAGAGGAGATTGCTCCATGTGAGCCTTCCTTCCTCCTTGGCCTTCCTGTTACCCAGCTCTTCATTGCACCCATGGTTTTCTCACATCTGGTCCACTGTCCTGTCCCTCCAGCTTCAGCCTCCCTTTTTCTCTTGCCTGGGTCCTGCCCTGCGATCCTCTAGCCAAGCTCTTCCCCGGCCCTTATGTCTACCTCCATGTCTCCTACGGTGTCCTCACATCTCTCAGTACTCTGTCACACACCCATATCACCCCTGTGCCTCCACCCTGCTTCTCTACCATCCCAAACCATGTCTTCCTTTCTGAGGCTGCCCCGGGGCAGGCTGAGCTGGGCCTCTGCTGGGGACCCAAGAATTCTGGCAAGGGAGTCTCACAACATGGAAGGCTCAGGCTGACAGAGCTGGGACTCTTCTGCCACCATCACGCCTAAAGCCTGCACCCTTCTGTCACTGACAGCCCCTCACCTGCCTCGTGCGCTGGGTGCCAGTCTTGCCTTGGACGTTCCGGGAGAGCTGACAGAATGGAGAAGCTCCTAAGTGAGAGGCCCTTTGGCTTGGCCCCACCCCTCAAGCCCCGCCTTCCTACCCTGTGCTCAACCTCCGGTTCATCACACTGTCCCTAAGACCGCCTGTGGCCCAGCAACCTCCTAGAAATGCAACAAAGGTCAAAAGGAATAGCAGTCTGCAGGAAATCGCCGTGGTTTTGTGAGGTTAGGAAGAGGGATTGCACATCCTCTGCACTCAAATTGTTTGCCTCTATTTCCTTGATACCCAGTTCCTTGGGATCATCTTACATTTCTGTGGTTTTGGGAAGGATGTGAAGTACGAACCGCTACGGTGGAGTCAGTGGGAAAAGTTTGGGCCAGAGGCCAGCAGACGTGAGTATGTTCCTGGAGTTTCCAGGGAAGGGCGGTGCTTGGGGCAATAGTACCTGAGCACAGGCTTCCAGTACCTGTCTGGGTAACGGAAGGCAGGGACTGTTCCTGCCCCCAACTTTAGAGAGCAAGGTGCTGGGGCCACAGCAGCCCAACCAGATGTGACCAGCAGGTGTCAGCAAAGCACTGAAGCACTAGAGGCAACAAACCTGCTTCCTCTGCTTTGTAGCTGCTACAGGGATGCAGAAAAGAAGGTAAGTTATAGTTTCTGAATGAGGCCAAAATATTTACCATCAAGAATCATCCTTGGGGCCCCGGGGTGACTCGGTTAAGAGTCTGCCTTCAGCTCAAGTCGTGATCCCAGGGTCTCGGGATGGGCTCCCTGCTCAGCAGGGAGTCTGCTGCTCCCCTCCCTCGGCCCCTCCCTGCCATGCTTGGTTTCTCTCTCGCTCTCTCTCTCTCTCTCTCTCAAATAAATAGATAAAATCTTAAAAAAAAAAAAAAAAGAATCAGACAGCCTTGTCAGGGAGATAAACTTAAGTGTATGTAACTACAGTGCAAGTCAAATGATGTCATTAACTTAATAGAAATTAGAAGAAGAATTAGAATAAAGGGAAGTTTAGATTATATCTGATACCAGGGCCGAAGAGGCAGAATGAGAAGGGTGGGTTCAACTATCTACTAGGCAGAGATGGGGAAGAAGTGCTTCTTCTGAAGATGGGAATTAGCATAAGCCATTCAACAAATAAAGGTAATGTGGGGGGGGGGGCGTGCCTGGGTGGCTCAGTGGGTTAAAGCCTCTGCCTTCAGATCGGGTCATGATCCCAGGGTCCTGGGATCGAGCCCCGAGTCGGGCTCTCCGCTCAGCTGAGAGCCTGCTTCCCCCCACCTCCTCTGCCTGCCTCTCTGCCTACTTGTGATCTCTGCCTGTCAAATAAATAAATGAAATCTTAAAAAAAAAAAAAAAAGGTAATGTGGGGCATACTCAGGAAGTGCTGATTTATTCAGTATGTCTGCAACCCGGGCTGTTTGAGAAAGAAGTGAAGGAAAAGCAGATCGTGGTAAGCTTTAACAAATTGCTCAAGCATTCCCACATCTGTGGGCAGTAGGGAGACATTCGGCATTTCGGTTCATCAGGGGAGAGTATCAGGAGCTCAGTGGGAATGGGTGTGAGGCTTCATTAAGTTTTTAGCTGTGGGAGGGCCTGCTGGATCAGGGTTTAGCTTGCTTCAGCACAGGATGAGGCCAGATCTCGGGCTTTGGTAATTTTACAAGAAGCTGCAGCAGAAGGGGAAGAATTGGAACCATTGGCCGACTGGCAAAAGTTGAAGAGTAAACTGAAGTTCAGAAGTAGAAGCCATCCTCACAGCTTGGACGCTGCAATCATGGGTTCTGCCTCTTGGAGATAGTGGTTGAGTCTTGGCCTCTTCCTTATTTCCATCTCTCACCGCAGGGTCTAGACCCAAGTGCCCCTGATACAACCTAGACTGGGTAATGCTGAAAACTCTTTTTTTTTTTTTCCTGACAACTCCTTTGAGGAGTATGATGGTAAGGGGATGAAAAGCAAGCTACTTTCCAGGTAACTTAAGGGGGTGGGGAGCTGGACTGAGAGAGGGACATTTTTTTATTTTTTTAAGATTTTATTTATTTATTTGAGAGAGAGACAGTGAGAGAGAGCATGAGAGGGGCGAAGGTCAGAGGAAGAAACAGACTCCCCGTGAAGCTGGGAGCCGGATGCAGGACTCCATCCCAGGACTCCAGGATCATGACCTGAGTCGAAGGCAGTCGCTCAACCAACTGAGCCACCCAGGTGCCCTAGAGGGACTACTTATATCTTGGGGTTTGAGGACATTTGTAGGCTGAGCGGAAGGAGCAAGTGGAGAGGAAGGCTTCCAAAGTGCAAAGGAGAGGGAATGGCTGAGGAGCAAGGTGTGGGGGCAGATGGAAAGAGTGGACTGGAGTTCCGGAGAGGATAGTGAGGAGAGACCGGAGCTCGCATTTGTTGAGTGCACTCTGCCTCATGTTATAACTCTCTGGTACTCTTATGAATTAAATGTCGCCGTATCCTGTTTGCTGATGGGAAAAGCCTGAGGCTTTGAGAGGTTAGATAACCTGTCCCCAAATTCTAGAGCTAGTTAAGTGGCCGACAGAAGGCCTTGTGTGATTCCCCAACCTGGGCCTTTCCTGCTCATTACCTCATGAGATTATGAGGAGGGAGTTCGACTTCATAATGAATGTGGCATCCTCTTCTGATGAAGTCACTGATCCTATGTCCTCCGGGACAGTCATAGGTGACACTGCCAAAACAACAGGGATGGCAAGAGTCCTTTTTAAAAGAAATGTGCGATCCAATTGAAAAATAAGGGAAGTGTGAATACAGGAAGATGCAAATACAGTGATACTTGCTGAATCCAGAATGCTTCTCCCAATTCCTTATGCACTGACGTCCTGGCTTCTCCTTGAGTCTGCCCCTTGCTCTCAGCTCTGTCTGCTCGTTGTACGGGAGATGTGTTGCAATTCTCTCGGTTCCTCCAGTACTCACCCTGTGTGGTTGCTGTCCCTCTCCTTCCACCTTGTCCTGTGTTCTAGACTTTGCCACTTCTTGTTTTTCTGCCTGGAACACTTCCCACACACACCTCTTCTCTTTCTACTCAGCATTCATGTCTCAGCTGGGTAGTCAAATCTGTGGAGCCATCACGAGTCCCTAAATCGTATTAGACCCCTCTGATACATAGTCTTTTAGAACTGTCTACCTCCCTCTTAGAATGACTCCCTTCGCTATAATTTGTGACTTGATTAACTACATCCCCACTAGCCTATAAACTCCAGGAGGGCAGAGCTGATGCCTTAGAGGCCACAGAGTGCCTGGCATACACTGTGCTCAAGCAATATTGGCTGAAAGAATAAATTCAAAACGCATCCCAGCACCAGGAGATAAGGGGGAAATAGTAGCCACATAACAGTCGCAGGTTATATTGTGCATTTAATTCATTCATGGGGAACTCTTTCTCTTTTTTTCTTTTAATCTATACCCATTTTGAGTAACCTCTGAATCCACAGCATATAATTAGCAGCAGATTGAAAGAGGAAAGAGGAGGGTGCCTAAGTGGCTCAGTTGGTTAAGCAACTGCCTTCGGCTCAGGTCATGCTCCACAGGGAGTCTGCTTCTCCCTATGACCTTCTCCCCTCTCTCACTGTCTTTCTCTCAAATAAATAAATATTTTTTTTAATTTTTTTATTTATTTATTTGACAGACAGAGATCACAAGTAGGCAGAGAAGCAGGCAGAGAGAGAGAGAGGAGGAAGCAGGCTCCCTGCAGAGCAGAGAGCCCGATGTGGGGCTCGATCCCAGGACACTGGGATCATGACCTGAGCCGAAGGCAGAGGCTT